GACGCAGATGAACGTGGGGTGAAGCAGGTCGAAGGAGGTGGGTGTAGACGCGGTGCAGGGAGATGCGGAGCAGAGAGAATAGGATGGAGAAGTAAGAGCTGGAGCGGGAAGCGGGGATATGGTCGAGACGAAGCGAGCGCTGATGGGAGGGAAGAGCAGGGAGGGAAGGAACGGGTGGTGCGGGGCGGGGCGGGCTATCAGACGCAGATGAACGTGGGGTGAAGCAGGTCGAAGGAGGTGGGTGTAGACGCGGTGCAGGGAGATGCGAAGCAGAGAGAATAGGATGGCGAAGTAAAGATGTGGAGCGGGAAGGGGGGATATGGTCGAGACGAAGAGGGCGCTGATGGAAGGAAAGAGCAGGGTGGGAAGGAACGGGTGGTGCGGGACGGGGCAGGATATCAGACACAGATGAACGTGGGGTGAAGCAGGTCGAAGGAGGTGGGTGTGGACGCTGTGCGGGGCTATGCGGGGCGAAGAGATCAGGCCGAGATGGAGCGGGGCGGAGGTGGACAGAGAGAGCGGGGCGGAAAGAACAGAGAGGGAAGAAGCGGGGCGGGGTGGAGTGGCGAATTGCTCTGACACAGATGGGCGCGGGGCGCGGTAGGTGGCCGGGGCAATGACGTGGGTGGAACGAAGCGAAGGCGGCGGCTCGAAAGAGGACGGAGTTGCGGCCAAGGCGCGGAGAGCGTAGGCGAATGCGTGGGCGCGGAAGGCGGAAGGAGGCGGAGGGAACTCGCACAGACTCCGGCCAACTGTGCCAATCCACATGCCACAGCGAGGTATTTCTCCCTCCCCTCTCTTCACTGCGATGCAGCCCAGATGGCGGACTGCACTCGCAGGGTCGCCGTTGATTGGGAAATCGGCCAACAGCCTGAAACTACAGGCGCCACAAGTGCAGCATTCGGCCACGAGCCAGCCTTCGTCGGATCCCGACTACCGAGGACGAGTTGCTCGCTCTTTGCTGAGATCAAATCTGTCGATGCTCGTCCTACCTACAGCGTGTGTGCCTTGCATGCTTCAAGAAAAGCGAACATTCGCCAAGCACATCGGCTTCTCGACATTGGGAGAGCTGTCTTTCGGTTCAACCTGAAAGCAGCAAATTTAACGCTGTCTTAAGGCTAGGACGGGCAATGAACAATAATGTGCACGCGGCACAATAATGTGACATGGTGTTAACTGTCTTTATGACACAAATTATATTAAATTATGTTGGGATACCACACAGGTTGGGAGCTAAGAAACTGTCCGGGCTGGGGCGGTGCCCCACTGACGGGAGATATCTGGTTGGGGAAAACCTTGAAACCCGACGAGAGTCAGCACCGGATCTTGCCATCTAGCGAGAGAAGCGACCTCTCGCGTTGAAACATGCACTGAGCGTAAGCACCTTAGCAGTAGACGAGTCCGGAACCACTAGTCAATCAATCAAACAAACGAACAATCCAATCGAGCATCCCCAAGGCGGGAGTGAGCTAGGATACAGTCGCCGGCCCCTTTGCGCTGGACGGAGTGCGAGACGCGCGGGACGCGGGTCGTCGCCCGGAGAGGAGCTGCGGCGGCGGCGGGGGCGGCCGCGGCGGCGGAAGCGTCACGTCAAAGGCCTTATCGCACGCATCGCGTCTTCTCCGTCACTGTCACAGTGGGCCACGACACCCCCTCCGGCGATAGAAAAAATCGATTTACTCAGATGTGATGCAAACGAAACGAGATGTCTCACATCTCAAGGGAAAAATATATATTTTATATTTCGACTTTGCGAATGTGAATACGCGAATTCATCGGTAACGGTGAACGTTTACAGATAAGAAGGAATTAGAGATATCGAAGTTCGTGAGTTCTAGGATGCACTGCAATTTTGGCAAGGACAGATACCAAACAGCCCCCCATCGACATTGCTAAATTTTGTATTTTTTTCTGGGATACTTTAGTTGTACCTTTAGCTTGGTCCAACATTTGTGAACAACCTACAATAATTTAAAAATAATTGGTTTTGAACAACCTAAAAGAAGGGAGCTTATATACAAAGTGTATTAATTATTAATTTTTTTGAGGTGGTCGAGCGACCACTTAAAATGGATTGACCCACAGATGTTTTCGGCAGGTAGGCGAAATTTATTTGATTGCATCAGAAAGTGATCTGTGAAACACTAGTGAATGGTGAGTTACCTACATATGTGGGGCAACTTGTTACACGATATTTCCCACCACAACTCGATAGGCAATAAGTAATCATCTTCAATCCTCATATATGTCTTAGAGCACGAAACAGTTGGTCTGCCACACCTCTGACGTACATTAGAACGTTTTTTCTCGTTTCCGCCTCGAAGAGCCATGAAGATAACAGTGCTCACGATTTTGGGAAATCTGCAAGAACCTAAATTTATGGAATTCAGCATATTTTTTCCCCTTTTTTCTAGGGCTTTTCCCAGCTGATATCTGGTTACCCTATACGTCTCGATGGGACGCATATTCGACTATTCACTAGACACCAACACACTTGCGTTCTCCTCTGATCTAAGGGTCTGCAGAACGCAATACCCTCCGCGACAAGACACGAGAGTCAAGAGACAAAGACGCCCAAAGCGGGGTTCTATCCTGCGACCTTTTGGACCGAAGCGGTAAGTGGCTACACGCTCATAGAAACCTCGGTCATCCGGGTCTGCGAATAGAACATTTAAGTAGCCTAAAATTAGCCTTTAATTTTGGATATGGTGCGGTTAAGATTCGTCTTTGGGCGCTGCACTGTCAGAAATGTCACTTTAATCTAATTTCGATTAATTTATTTTACCCGAAACATAATGTAACCTTGTACACTAAAAATAGCTTAATATATTTGCAGGTTCAATGTAATCCATAAGTTAAAATCAATGTAGATTTAATGTAGAGGTTCTCCCGTTCTTCCTGTCTCTCATAATTCATATCGTATATTCATTGCCACCAGTCCACCAAGATCATTCCTTCACTCCTTCCTGATATAAGTATACAGCTTTGTCTCTTGCATCCTACTGTAAAACTCGTATTCATTAAATTTAAAGTGCGTTTATAATAATTACTTTAATGTAATTTACATTTAAGTAATGCGGAAATATCTGCAGCTTAAGACGGCTGCCTCGAGGCGTCTGCGTGGCGCGCCGCGGCGCTGCTTTGGGCTGCTGAGCGCGCGGGTGGAGGGTTGAGGGGGGGGGTGAGTGCGGCTGATAAGGGCGCCCCCGGCGAGAAGCGGTGGAGGCGGCGCGTCACTCATTCACACGCCCCGCGCCGCTCCACGCCACGCCACGCCACGCCACGCCGGCGGCTCCTCAGTGACCACTCGCTTTTTTGCGGGGGGGGGGGGACGTCGGCGGCGGCGGCGGCGGAGTGCCCCGAGTGGCGCTCTCAATGGGCTAAATGTGCTGCTCGCACTTCACTTCCACAGACTCGGTGCTTTTATTGGCCAACCCGCTGACACGGGGAACAGAGCTCGCTGAAGCATATCTTACGCCCGTCGAAAGCCTGGCTTGTTTCGCCGCTACGTTGTTCTGGGTGGCAACAGGATTGCAATTGGTGGCATCCATTTGGAGCTGCGCTTGATGGTGTATGGCGGAAGCAACTAAAGTGGCTCTGTTCGATGGTTCATGGGAACGAGACCCATCTTGAGTACAGATGTTTTATACTTGTCATTTTCCCTTTCATCTCCCATGCGCATATATATGCGGTTCGCGAGGACCCGCAAGGTGACGCGGTGGGGGCGGGGCGCCGCCAGCCACCAGGCCAGGCAGGCTTCAGCGGGGCCGCGACGAGTTATGGCATCGGCGAGACCCGCGGGCTGCCTTCTGTCACCTGCGCCCCCGCCCCCGCAGCAACCACGCCCCCTCGCTTCCACGCCGACCGCTCTCCTCCCCGCTGCTCTGCAGGCGTCGGCGTCGGCCCCGCCGCAACCACGCCCCTCCGCTTCCACGCTCGACCAGCTCCCTCCCCGCTGCTCTGCGGCGTCGGCCCCGCCGCCCACCACGCCCCCTCCGCTTCCACGCTCGAACCCGCTCCCTCCCCACTGCTCTGCCGCGCCGGCCCGCCGCAACACGCCCCCTCCGCTTCACGCTCGATCAGCTCCCTCCCGCTGCTCTGCGGCGTCGCCCCGCCGCCACCACGCCCCCATCCCTCCGCTCTACGCTGGACCCGCTCCCTCCCCGCTGCTCTGCGGCGTCGGCCCCGCCGCCACCACGCCCCCTCCGCTTCCACGCTCGACCCGCTCCCTCCCCACGGCTCTTGCCGCGCCGGCCCCGCCGCAACCACGCCCACCTCCGCTTCCACGCTCGACCCGCTCCGTCCCCGCTGCTTTGCGGCGTCGCCCCGGCCGCTACCACGCCCCCTCCGCTTCTACACTCGACCCGCTCCGTCCCCGCTGCTCTGCGGCGTCGGCCCGCCGCCACCAGGCCCCTCCGCTTTCACGCTCACCCGCTCCCTCCCCGCTGCTCTGCAGCGTCGGCGTTGGCCCGCCGCAACCACGCCCCCTCCGCTTCTACGCTCGACCCGCTCCCTCCCGCTGCTCTGCGGCGTCGGCCCCGCCGCACCACGCCCCTCCGCTTTCTACGCTCGACCCGCTCCCTCCCGCTGCTCTGCGGCGTTCGGCCCCGCCGCCACACGCCCCCTCCGCTTCTACGCTCGACCCGCCCTCCTTGCGCTCTGCGGCTCGGCCCGCGCCACCACGCCCCCTCCGCTTCTACGCTCGCCGCCACCTCCCCCTGCTCTGCGGTCGGCCCCGCCGCTACACGCCCCTCCGTTTCACGCTCGACCCGCTCCCTCCCCGCTGCTCTGCGGCGTCGCCCCGCCGCAACCACGCCCCCGCTTCACACTCGACCCTCCTCCCCGCTGCTCTGCGGCGTCGGCCCGCCGCAACCACGCCCCCTCCGCTTCTACGACTCGACCCGCACCCTCCCGCCTGCTCGCGGCGTCGCCCCGCGCTACACACGCCCCCTCCGCTCTACGCTCGACCGCTTCCTCCCCGCGCTCTGCGGCGTCGCCCCGCCGCTGAACCACGCCCACCTCCGCTTGCTACGCTCGAACCCGCCCTCCCGCTGCTCTGCGGCGTCGGCCCGCCGCTACCCACGCCCCCTCCGCTTTCTACGCTCGACCCGCTCCCTCCCCGCTGCTCTGGCGGCGTCGGCCCCGCCGCTACACGCCCCCTCCGCTTTCAGCTCGACGCCGCTCCTCCCCGCTGCTCTGCGGGGCGTCGGCCCGCCGCACCGACGCCCCTCCGCTTCTACGCTCGACCCGCTCCTCCCCCCCCCCGCTTGCTCATGCGGCGTCGGCCCGCGCAATCACGCCCCTCGCTTTCAACGCTCGGACCGCTCCCTCCCGCTGCTTCTGCGGCGTTCGGCCCCGCCGCTACCACGCCCCTCGGCTTCTACGCTCGACCGCTCCCTCCCCGCTGCTCTGCGGCGTCGGCCCGCCGTACCACCCCCCCCGCTTTCACGCTCGACCCGCCTCCCTCCCTGCTGCTCTGCGGGATCGGCTCCGCGCCAACCACGCCCCCTCCGCTTTCACCGCTCGACCGCTCCCTCCCCGCTGCTCTGCGGCGTCGGGCCCCGCCGCTATACGCCCCCTTCCGCCTTTCACGCTCGACCCGCTCCCTCCCGCTGCTCGCGGCGTCGGCCCCGCCGCTACCACGCCCCCTCCGCTTTACGCTCGACCCGCTCCCTCCCGCTGCTCTGCGCGTCGGCGCCGCCGCCACCACGGCCCCTCCGCTTCTACGCTCGACCCGCACCCTCCCCGCTGGCCTGCGGCTCGCCCCGCCGCAACCACGCCCCCTCGCTTCTACACTCGACCCGCAACCCTCCCCGCTGCTCTGCGGCGTTCGGCCCGCCGCAACCACGCCCCTCCGCTTCCACACTCGAACCCGCTCCCTCCCCGCCGCTCTGCGGCGTCGGCCCGCCGCAACCACGCCCCCTTCCGCTTCTACGCTCGACCGCACCCTCCGCTGCTCTGCGGGTCGGCCCCGCCGTCACCCGCCCTTCCGCTTCTACGCTTCCGACCCGCCTCCCTCCCTCCGCTGCGTCTGCGGCGTCGGCCCCGCCGCAACCACGCCCTCCGCTTCTACGCTCGACCCGCACCCTCCCGCTGCTCTGCGGCGTCGGCCCCTGCCGTCACACGCCCCCTTCCGCTTCTACCGCTCGACCGCTCCCTCCCCGCTGCTCTGCGGCGTCGGGCCCCGCCGCAACCACGCCCTCCGCTTCTTACGCTCGACCCGCACACCTCCCGCTGCTCTGCGGCGTCGGCCCCGCCGCCACCACGCCCCCTCCGCTTCCACGGCTCGACCCGCTCCCCCGCTGCTCTGCGGCGTCGCCCCCCGCCACCACCGCCCCCTCCGCTTCTACGCTCGACCCGACCAACCCTCCCCGCTGCTCTTGCGCGTCGGCCGCCGCCGTCACCACGCCCCCTCCGCTTTCCACACTCGACCCGCTCCCTCCCCGCTGCTCTGCGCGCGTCGGCCCCGCCGCAACCACGCCCCCTCCGCTTCTACGCTCGACCCGCACCCCTCCCGCTGCTCTGCGGCGTCGCGCCGCCGTCACACGCCCCTCCGCTTCTACGCTCACCCGCTCCCTCCCCGGCTGCCTGCTCGAGCGTCGGCCCGCCGCACCACGCCCCCTCCGCTTCTACGGCTCGACCCGCACCCTCCCGCTGCTTGGCGCTCGCGCCCGCCGGCACCACGCCCTACGCTTCTACGCTCGACCCGCACCCTCCCGCTGCTCTGCGGCGTCGCCCGCCGCAACCACGCCCCCGGCCGCTTCTACGCTCGGACCCGGCCACCCTCCCGCCGCTCTGCGGCGGTCGCCCCGCCGCAACCAACGCCCCCTGTTTCCGCTTCTACGCTCGACCGCACAAACCCCCCACCCCGACTGCTCTTGCGGGCTCGGCCCCGCCGTCACCACGCCCCCCTCCGCTTCTACGCTCGACCCGCTCCCTCCCCGCTTGCTCTGCGGCGTCGGCCCCGCGCCACCAACGCCCCTCCGCTTCTACGCTCGACCCGCACCTCCCCGCCCTGCTCTGCGCGTCGCGCCCCGACGCCCACCACGCCCCCTCCGCCTTCCACCACTCGAAACGCCTCCTCCCGCGCCTTCTGCGGCGTCGGCCCCGCCGCAACCACGCCCCCTCCGCTTCTACGCTCGACCCGCACCCGTCCCCGCTGCTCTGCGGCGTCGGCCCCGCCGTCACACGCCCCCTCCGCTTCTACGCTTCGGACCCGCTCCCTCCCCGCCTGCTCTTGCGGCGTCGGCCCCGCCCCCACCACGCCCCTCCGCTTCTAACGCTCGACCCGCACCCTCCCCGCTGCTCTCCTCTTTCTCCCCTTCCCTAGTTATGCGGCGTCGGCCCCGCCGCCAAACCACGCCCCCTCCGCTCCACACTCGACCCGCTCCCTCCCCGCCCGCTCTGCGGCGTTCGCCGCCGCAACCACGCCCTCCGCTTTCTACGCTCGACCCGGCACCCTCCCGCTTGCTCTTGCGGCGTCGGCCCCGCCGTCACCACGCCCCTCCGCTTCTACGCTCGACCCGCTCCCGTCCCCCGCGCTCTGCGGCGTCGGCCCCCGCCACCACGCCCCCTTCCGCTTCTACGCTCGGAACCCGCTCCCTCCTTGCGCTCTGCGGCGTCGGCCCCGCCTGCCACACGCCCCTCCGCTTCTACACTCGACCCGCACCCTCCCGCTGCCTTCTGCGGCGTCGGCCCGCCGCCACCACGCCCCTCCGCTTCTACGCTCGACCCGCTCCCTCCCCGCCGCTCTGCGGCGTCGGCCCCGCCGCAAACCACCCCCCTCCGCTTTACGCTCTACCCGCACCCTCCCCGCTGGCTCTGCGCGTCGGCCCCGCCCGTCACCACGCCCCGTCCGCTTCCACACTCGACCCGCCTCCCTCCCCGCGCTCTGCGGCGTTCGGGCCCCGCCGCAACCACGCCCCTCCGCTTCCACACTCTTACCCGCTCCCTCCCCGCGCTCTGCGCGGCGGCCCCGCGCAAAACCACGCCCCCTCCGCTTCTACGCCTCGACCCCGCTCCCTCCCCGCTGGGCTTCTGCGGCGTCGGCCCGCGCCAACCCACGCCCCCTCCGCTTCTACGGCTCGACCCGCTCCTCCCGCTGCTCGCGGCGTCGGCCCCGCCGCCACCACGCCCCTCCGCTTCTACGCTCGACCCGCTACCTCCGCTGCTCTGCGGCGTCGGCCCCGCCGCTACCACGCCCCCTCGGCTTTCACGCTCGACCCGCCTCCCTCCCCGCTGCTCTGCGGCCGTCGCCCCGCGCAACCCCACGCCCCCTTCCGCTTCTACGCTCGACCCGCTCCCTCCCTCGCTGCTCTGCGCGTCAGGGCCCCGCCGCAACCAACGGCCCCCTCCGCTTCCACACTCGACCCGCTCCCTCCCCGCTGGCTCTGGGCGTCGGGCCCGCCGCAACCACGCCCCCTCCGCTTCTCGCTCGACCCGGCCACCCTCCCCGCCTGCTCTGCGGACGTCGCTCCGCGTCACCTACGGCCCCCTCCGCTTCCACAACTCGACCCGCTCCCTCCCCGCCGCTCTGCGGCGTCGGCCCCGCCGCAACCACGCCCCCTCGCTTCTACGCTCGGACCCGCACCTCCCCGCTGCTGCTGCGGCGTCGGCCCCGCCGTCACC